ACAAACAGCCCTCTTATTGCACCCAGATGAGTCGCCCCCTGCTGGTTGTTACCAAAAATGCAGGTTTTAGGAGTCACATTACAGACCTGGAGGCTACATCCATCTCCAATATGCAGTCTATGCTACTTTAATGCTTTAGATCATCATTTATTCAGGTTCCTGGGTTCCTCTTGTTGTTGTTCGACACACCAACTTTTCCGCATGAAGTTATTGAATAATCTGAAAATAATCGTTTTTATGTCGATTTAGAGTTCGTTAAGGCTAATAAGGTGAGTAGGTAGAGTGCACTCAGAGATAATATGCAGATTTTTATTCTTCATAACCAATCGATTAGTTAAAAAGGTTGTACGATTTCACTTCACAAAGATTTTCATTGGTTGACCTAAGTCCTTGATCCAGTTAGATTTTATATGAGTTTTATGAGTTTGCAATCTGTTTTTACACCTTTTTTAATTTCATATTTTACCTTATAATCCTATGGTTCAGTGAAAGTTTTTATGGTCCCTTCTGGAAATACGTCAATGCAATCATTCACGCAGAAAAACTTGTTCGAAATTAAGGAGATTTGTACAAAGCTATCGCCCTTAAATTGTCTGTGTTTTGTCTTTTTTGGAAAACTGAAAGCTTGTGTTTCACAATTTATTGATTTTTTTGGGGGTTTTCCTGCATTGAGAAATAGTTGGTGCCTCCGAGAAGTTTTCACCAGCCCTAAAGGCCAATCACTGGCACCTAAATGGTTAAAACTGAGAACCAAAATGTATCTATGTATATTTTTAACCCATCCATCATCTATACACCGCTTAATCCTGACTACGGGGGGCTGGAGTCTATCCCAGCTGACTCAGGGTGAAGGCAGGGGACACCCTGGACAGGTCACCAGTCCATCACAGGGCTACACTTAGAGACAGACAACCAAGCACACTCACATTCACACCTACGGACAATTTAGAATCACCAATTAACCTCAACATGTTTTTGGACTGTGTGGGAGGAAGCTGGAGAACCTGGAGAGAACATGCAAACTCCACACAGAAAGACCCCAGGCGTTCTAACTGGGACGTGAACTGGCGACCTTCTAAGCTGAGAGGTGATGGTGCTAACCACCGACAATTTAGTTCCATTTACTCAAGCACAACAGACATGTTGTTTACTAAATGGTCAGAAATAACAGGAAAATGTCCTGTTACATTAGGTAGCACAGACTCAATCGTCCAAAGGCTGGCTGTAGATTTGTTTTCTGTTCATCTCTGCCTCCCGGTCTTACCATGAAGAAGGTCATGGTGGACCCTCCGTGGATGGTGCCGTACTGGATGTTGGTTTGGTCGGCCAGATCGTCCGGAGACTCGATGGGCACCTCCATCCTCTGGACGGTGAGAAACGCCGCCAGGTTGGCCGTGTAGGACGAGATGATGATGAGTGTGAACGCCCACCTGAAGGACCAGAGGAGAAGAAGAAGAAGAGCAGCTTCAACCTTTATTCATCCTGACAGCCTCTCACTCCTTTCTCCCCTCCCATCCCTCCCTCTTTTCATTAAGAGCTGAAGGCAGGAGAGAGACAGATGGAGGGCACCGCAGGAAACGTCAGGAGTTTTAGGTAAAAATCATCAACCTAAACATGAACTCGGGCTGCAGCAGAGACGAGCAGGACGCCTCCGCTGCAGAGGAAATGAGACGGAAGCGATGAGCGAGGGAATTAGGGAGGGAGGTGAGGAAAGAGGGGGGGAGAAGCGGGGCAGGTGAGACTGAACGGAGGTGAAACGAGACCAAAAGGAGATCAGCGAATACAAGGAAAACAGAATTTGGGCTCTGGTGACTCCACTTAATTATAATAACTGAACCAGAAAATTCCTCATCGTGTAAGTACAACTTCTGAAATAACATTAGCTGCAGGTGTTTGGAGCGACTGCGAAGGGGGAAGGAGGTGTAATCATGAAATAGTTCCATCACATAATTCTTTGTTTTTATGCGGCTCTTGTGCGTGCAATAAAAACAAGTGAGATATAATGAGCTTTGGAGCTGTTTCCTGTCGTTATGCTAAACTAGGTGAACCATCTGCCGAATGTAGCTTCATATTTAACAGGCAGACGTGAGAGCGGCGGGAATGTCCTCATCTCAAAAAGAGAGCAAGAGCTGTGCCGCCGATGTAGGGCTCACTGAGAAAATACAGTTTGACCCTCTGAACCTCAAAACCTACTGGCGGACTTTAGAGCATGATGTCTTTTTTAATTTTTTTAAATCATCAAAATGACACCATTTATCAGAGACAGAAGCTGCCAGAACAGAAAGAATCTTTGCTTTGTCAACTTTTCAAAGGTGCTCAAACTAAAAGTTACGCAAATCTAAGCCTCTAAGCCTTCATCAAAAATCTATTTATTCCAAAAGTCCCATTTTAAAAGTAGCCAAAAACAATAAAGACTTTGCACGAGACCCTGCAAAAAAATGTTGAACTGCAGGCTGTGTTTACACAAGAGAGGCTGAAATAAAACACACTGGATCAATAAAATAAATGTGTCATAGCTCAAAAACAGTGTACAGAGGAGCAAGCTGTTGGAAGATACATTCAGCATGGGGAAACATCTTTCTAGAGATTTCATGTGCAGAGAAGTGTGGAAAAACAGTTTGTAGCCGTTGTAAAAAATGTTAAATATTTAGAGCATGTGTGAACCCCCATTTTTTCCCCCAGCATTGGCAACACCAGTGGACGTGTTGATTCCAGGTTTTTAAAACGAAATTCTGTTTTTCCTTTTTTTTTTTCAAGATTTATGGGATTCTAAATGTCACACAGCACGGAAGACATGTTTGAGTTCTCTCCACTTCTAGTCATGGTTGTTCTGTTTCCATAGAGGTGCAGGACTTTATGAGTCCACAGTGAGTAAAACTGTGTCATGAGCCAGCCGTCATGTCGCATCTCACTGATGTACAAAAAGAGCAGCTTCATGCTCTCATCTAAAGGATTATGTCCGTTTTATCCCAGCATCTTGTTGTCGGTGAAGTGACTGCCTAATGAGGACATTTTTGTAAACAAATGTGTTGCGACTCGACCTTCGACCTCAACACTGATGGACTTAATAGAGATGAACGAGGCAGAAATCTACTATTATTATTCCTTTTTTTTCTTTTTTGTAGCCGTGTCAACAAATGAAAGGATTTTTTTCTTCTTCTATTCTTTTCTATCTTTACCACTTAACATATATAGAATAGAGAGGGAAAAAAAACAGTGTTTATGTTGCTTTGGAAACACAACCTTTTAAGGTGGGCTGTTTTATTTCTTTTGGATGTTGGTCAAAGCACAAGCTCATGTCCTGAATCAATCAACACACCTTAAATGTCAATACAGCAACTCTCTTGCTTGGCTGTCACTTCAGTGACGATCGAATGTTCTTAAAAATAGATGAATTTCACCTGCAGCGCCGTGACTCGATAAGCAAAAGTTTGTCTCAAGACTTCATGCCAATAATCTGACTTTATATTAAACATCTTCAGGGTTCACTTGTTACCGCCAAACGGCTCAACACAGTGAGGATTTGACTCTCCACACATCAAGTCAAGTTCACACAGATCAGCTCCCAAAGCATCCTGGGTAAAATGGACTATCGGAGCTGCTGGACAGAGACTAAACGCAGACTTAATCAGGAGGGAGTTTTTACAAAATGGAGTCAGACAGAAAGAAGGAGTTCAGCCAGAAAACGAGCAGCTGCGAGAAATCGAGTTCGACAAAAACTGCAGCGAAAAAAAAAGGAGAATAGAATAGCTTGTAAAATGAGAAAAGACCCAAATGTAGTCCAGGTCCTGTTCAGTGTTTCCAACAAAGCTCCCATGACAAGCGAGTCCATGAGCGGAGGAAGGCCACGAGATACGGTTGAAAGCTTCATGAGCTTCAACTAAGACCTTGTTGGGAGTTTTTCTCTGCCAAATTCAAGCATCAGCGCATCATCATGAGCCAGTAAACAGACCTCTCGCTGAGCTCTTTTTTCTGTTATCAAACTGCCAGTCTGGCCTTGATTCTTCAACATCATTTTTCTAGTCAGGGTTAAGATTCATGCACATTGTTGCTTTTTCCTTGTCCACTTTTCCCTTTTTTTTCCCCCCTCCCATCGACTTGTGTGCAGGAAATCGACAGCTTGCAGGCCGACGAGCCACTCAGACGGACGGACGGACGGACGGACGGACATCAGTGCGTTGCAGCTTGTGCCACAGCCATCGTGAGTTTTTATGAGGCTAAGTGCCAGACGAGGCTGAGAGCTGTCAGAGAAAAGATGCTGATGGCCCCTCCAGTCCCTCCAGTATCACTCCACCATCTGTCCGACTGCAGCTACTGGGACCGAGGGAGGGAGAGTCAGCGGTGGAGGAAGAGCTTGGATCGTTTGCCGAGGTAAGAGCACCGATACAACAGTGCAAAAGGAATAATTACACAGTTAAAGTCCTGCATTTAAACATCAAATCACTTCAGGCATTAAAGGTTGACAGTAAATGGGCCTCTGTTGCTGATATAATACATCGCATTATTAAAAATGATCCATCAACCTCTACTGCTTTATGTATATTATTATTGTCGTCCAGTGGTATCAAATCTAAGGGTTGAGTCCCTCCAAAGGGACACCAGATAAATCTGACAGGTCCTAGGGAATTTTTCCCTAATTTTAGATTCCTGGTGAGGTGGAGAAACACACTTCAATACCAGACTTCCAGGATTAATCCATTATTAGAGACTACCTGTGAACGTCCCCCCTACATTTTCACGACTCGATTTATTCTTTTTTACTGAACATTTACTCAGTTGGCTCCAAACGAACTGACACCATGTCAAAGAGAGATGAGACAGAAGCAAAGTGACACAAAATTACACACTATAAATACAAGAAGCTGCAACAAATGCAGGAAGAAAGCTGCAAAGAGACACAAAATAATCACCATCACATGCAAACTCAGATTAAACCATTATTTAGACATATAAAATGTCTACTACCAGGTAGATGGTTGAAAACAGATGTGAAAACAGCTACGAATGGACCCAAACCAAGAAAGACACGCAAAATTAGCTCAAAGACAAAAAAATGGCTAAAAGAAATGCAAAATGGACACAGAAGAATGCCAAACCCAATGCAAACAGAGACAAAACAGACACATGTAAAATTAAGCTCAAATAAAGACACAAACATTAATCTTAGGAACAAATAATGATTGCTACACTCTGTTTTCCCGGCCCACAACTTCTCAATAGTTGTTCTTTTCTAAATATAACTATACAAATACAACACACCCAATCAACTGATTCTATAAAGTGATTCTAGCTAGTGTGATGATAGGTTTTTAATTATAATTGCATGTATTTATGAGGTGAAAATGGATCTTTTTTATAAAAAAAAAAACTATTATTTATATGAGATTAAAAATTCTCTGCTGGAACCTTTCTAGAAATTTATTTTGAAACGCGTTATAAGAAACACCAAACGTTAGAACACAGATCGACGCAGCCAACATCAGGGTTGGAGTTGTGAAATGACTTGACAGAAGTGATTTTCAATGGAAAGTGAGGGACGGACATCAGAAAGAAGAGAGGACGGGAATAAAGCGAGAAGAGAAAATGACATGACTTTCACATGAGAGTCGCTTTACCATCTGTTCACCTTCAGCTAATGTGCCTGAAGGGGGGGCGGATGGACGGAGGGGAGGAGGAGGAAGGAAATAACGCTGTGGATTTTACAAACTAGAATAATAACATAGAACATCTCTGTAAGGATGTTTTTATATGCTATCCAATAAGGGAATGAGCGATACTAGTGGCCGACACAGAAGAATGTCCTGTTTTTGCATCCCATCCATCCACCCCAACCTCCTCCCTACACTAGACTGTCTATATACTACAATGTCACTACACCCACTAGAGGGTGCTGCTGTCTCAAATGACTATGACAAAAAATACAACTAATTAAAAACTATGGATCAGTACAAGCAGCTTGCTAAGAAATTCAAGAAAGTGACAAAGTCTTATTTAAGGTAATTAAATACTCTTTATCTTTCAAGCAGTTTCTGGGTGCTGTTGTGCTTCGGTTACATTTGGACTCACTGTGGGCTCATTTTTCACTGTAATGTTAAGTCTTGCACCTCTATAGAAACAACACAACCATGACTAGAAGTAGAGAGAACCTAAAAATATCTTCTGTGCAGAATGACACAGTTGTAATGCTGTAAATCAAAAAAAAAGGGATAAAATTAAAGTGTTATTTTATCAAGAAAACTGTACGAATTGTTAAAAATCTGGAATCAAGAGTGTTAGTTAGTAGTGTGAAGAAAAAAATGGTGACTCTATATTTTTATTTTAAATTAGTTCCCCTACTGGTTTCCTCTCTGCTCTAACAAATGTACTGTAACATTTATGAACAATTAACCGGCTGGTGAAGCCAAAAATGACGTGATCATGACTTTAAACACCTCTAGACAACTTTATGCGACTCTAAAATGTATCTAGTTATTGTGAGTCACAAGAGCCATAAGTAAAACATTAGCTCTGTATGATTTTTAATTATTTTTTCCAATTAAGAGATTTTTTTCATGCGTTTTAAACAGTGTCAAACACACTATTTCTGCAGGGACCATATTTTCCAGCAGTTTCCTGTAGTTCATCCCAAAAGTGTCTAAATTTTTGTCATGCGACTCTTGGTCACAGTTGTGTTACTGATAGCTTCCAGATTGCACTAAACAGCACAGAATTTTTTAGTATTTACAGATTCTAGTTAAAGCCAAAGATTTATTATTGGTGAATGTTTAAAATGAGACTTGCAGTAAAAAGTGAGCACAATTTTCAGCTTGGATTCAGACAGAATGGCTTGTAACGGATGAGGTTTGTCTAAAAGTTGAACGTCTAATAGCTGCAAGTATTTGCTCTAAAAACGCTTTAATTGTTGCATTTTCTTTCCAAATCAACTGAATGTTTAATCAGAAAAGAGGAAGCCTGACTTGAGCCCTCAGGTTTACTGTATATGTGTAAATCTGGGCTGAAATGTACGAACCAGACGCCGCTGACGCAGCGGGTGGACAGCGCTCGGGGCATGATCTCTGAGCCCTGCTGCATGAAGCCGCCAACTGGGAACCACAGACTGTTCCCCAGCGTGTACTGGTTCTCCAGGATGTCCCGCCGCTCCCGCAGACACGGGTGAGGGTTGTACCACTCGTAGGGACTGAGCCTGCAGGGAGGGGGAGAGGAAAAACACAATTAATAAACCTGCCTTAACCAGAGACACAACTGTCAACCGGCTGTCTTGTATTTCACAAAAAGGACATTTATTGGTAAACTGACTGCACTTTTATGGAGCTGTTCAACCTCTGCGGTGCCCTACACAACGCTCTGCTTCCAAGGACTCTTGTATTAAGTGGGTTTTGTCAAAGCGCAGAGTGTTTGTGAAAACATATTTCATGTAGAGCGCTCAGGTAGGAAAAAAGGTGAGGAAGACGGATAGCTTTGCACCGGCAAGGAACGGAATAACGACAGTGTTTAGATGCTCGACTGGAGAGTTGGAGTCATTTCAGCGTTTGTGTGAACGACAAAATTACAGGCAGACGGAGAGCAAGAGGAAAGTGACAGAGAGAGACCTACACTTACTGAGATGAAACTTCAAGGGACCACAACAGAATGAAGCTTGACGAGAGCAGCAGACGTACATGTTAGTCTGTCTTTGTACAAACACCTGAGAGAGGCATGTTCACTTGTTTAACCCGAAACCTGCTGTCGGCTTTCAAAGGCACACGATCTTAAACAGTCAGTTGTCACAACTAGGAACAATAAAAACAGGAAGAATTGCCTGATTTCCAACTTTGGAACAGTCCTTGAACTGCTCATCTGTTTCCCTACACAACCTGCAGTTCAAAAACAAAAAAAATCAATTTGAAGAGTTCATTTGCAAAAACAGATAACTCCATTTTTGTAGATTTCCAGAGAACTATTTTTTTTGTTTGCTTGAAGTAATATCAATCAAACTGAAGTTGAGTGGATTTACTCAGTAGAAATTACAAAAATAGAGATAACTAAGTTTGACTGATATTGTCTCAGGTAGACGATGGAAAAGTGGGTTTTCTGAAGATTTGTGAAGATGAAGTTATCGGTTTTTGCAAATGAACGCTTCATTTTTCCACATGCGTCAAGTCTTTTGTCAAAATCTCTTTATTCTGCATGTCATTTAAAAGTTTGCCTACTTGCTTGTTTAAACCGGATCCTGTAAAAAAAATAAAAATGAAAAATGAAAAAAGCACCACTTGTTGCAACTGTGAAGCCCCTGATGGCTCAGCTGCAACCAACAGTCATGTCACAAAAAGTAGGGACTGTTCAATTGAGCTGCAGGCCATGTACTGAAACCAAAAAAAAAAAACTCGAAGTATCGTAAATTCTGGACTATAAGTTGCACCTGCTAACTTTAAAAAGAAAACAAGTTTTGTACATATACAGGCTGCACTTGTCTATAAGCTGCAGGTGTAACATGAGATAGTTACACAGAAAGAATTTTTAAACGTTTAATTAAATACGTACTGGTAACATACACAAATACGTAAATGCTTTTTTCCAAACAGTACCTGTAACACGGCTGGTTAAGAAAATAAAAAATACAGCAGCCTACCAGGAAAAGTCATTGATCTCTATCTTCAGCTTCCTCCTGCGCACTAAAACCACTAAAGTCGTCTTCATCAGTGTCAGAATTGAACAGCCTCAGGATTACTTTGTCACAAACTTCCTCAGTCTCTCTTTGGTTGTCGCTCTCAATGTCTCTTTCGTCTCGAGGCAAATTCGTAAAACTCGTAAAAATCCATAAATTAGCCGCAGTGTTCAAAGCGTGGTATCGATAACACAAAGGGGCATTTAGACTTACACCGATTCCAGGTTTTTCAATTTTCGTAAAATGAGTAACCAAAGAAATTCCGCTTTTATTTTTTTTCTTTACTATGAATGACGGCATTGTAACTTCGACATACTGCACAGAAGGCATGGATGTGGTGGTTCGATATAGATGTAGGACTTCATACTGCAGTGAAAAATGAGCCCAGAATGAGCAAAAACTGTAAAGAAACTGCTTGTAGTTCAGAGCCTGACTACTGCAGAACATGCTCTCTGTTTGGTTAAGTGCATGTAAGCACTAATTTGAAGTTATCAGTGTGAACAGCCAGCTTTGAGTCTAAAAGAGACCCCTTTGTCCCTCGTCCCAATGTGACGAACAGACAAAACGCCGCCACAATGCAGAAAGTACGCTCGCTGTGATGGCTTCAACTAAAATTAGAAGGACGTGCACACAGAGGCAGGTGTGTTACCTGGCGGCGAGGAAGAGGACGCAGCTGACGGCGAGGTAAGCCAACAGCATGAAGAGCCAGACAGCCGGAGAGAACGGGTCCAGGAAGGAGAAGTAGCCTGGTTTACGACCCTGAAACAAACAGACACAGTTATTCTTAAGTGAAGGTTATTTTTTTTTAGCTAAGAACGACATTTTTCCTCCCCTTTAGGTAGCTTTCAGTGTATTTACTGGGCATCATGATGTTCACTGGAAATCTGTGGTGACTGAAAATATTCAAACCCAAATCTCCTCTACATTTTAGCAACTTGTTCTGTGAAGCTACGAATACAGTGAACCAAGAAAAATGTTATTTACAGATTAGTCAAAGCAACATGTATCTGAGCTGCTGCCACACCGCTGAAACTGTCATGAATCTCTTGTGTCAGTTCAGAGTTTGAATCACCAGAAAGCCTCCAAAACAGATGGTATGGCCCACGATGTTTGTGCCATTTTGGTTATGTGGACTTGTGACCATTGTGTGTGGAGAAGACCTGTGTAGGCCCACTTGTGGCTGGCGGAGAGCTCGCTCCAGGACACCAACTGCCAGTCATCTCAGCTAATTGGCCTGGAGATGAAGACCTGTTCTCCCCGCCTCCGGTCACGGGGGTTTTCGGTTCCTTCCCACTGTTGTGGACTGCTTGCGGACTGCTGAAGCTTATAGGGAATCCAGATGTTTTGGATTGTTGGGTGTTTCTGTTTCTGCCTTTGTGAAGCGCTATGAGATGACTGTTGTTGTAAATATGCGCTATACAAATAAAATTGAATTGAATTGAATTGATTAGACAACTACCTCTCCTCCAACACCCCAGCAATCGCCACACCTGGCTGTAAACCAGCAACCTTTCAGTCGGGGCTGGCTGGGATTTAATGTGAACAGTCCGCCCTGGTGCCTCTTGCTCTGTGTCTTTTGTGTTTGTTGTAATGTAACTTCCGTTAGCAGCTGAAGAAGTTACTCGTGTCTCGTGCTTTTCTTACTGTGTTTTGAGGCACTAGTTTGTTTGAGTTTCTGTTGTTATGTGTGGATGTTGCTATTAAATTGAAGCTTGGCTCAGGAGTTTAGTTTTGTTTTCTGTTAGCTCGCTTCAACACTTAATTTTTAGCAACATCCACCAGCGTCCTTCTTATTGTCACAGTTCTGTTTATTTGCGTTACTAAGCAATAAATTGCGTTACCAGAACCAATTCCATCTGGTTTTTGTTACATCCAGCTGACCCTAGAGGCTGGATCATGACAACAGACATTTCGATTTGGTTATTTTGTCCAACGTAATCATGATCAAACAGTTTCTGAAGAGATTTTCACCAATGAACATTACAACAACCTGCCTAATGTTGTGTAGCGCCCCGACCTATAGACTCTACAGGCCTCTGAAGGTACCAAGATGTAAGCAGTAGATCCTTTAAGTCCTGGAAGTTTCGAGGTCAGGCATCCATGGATCGAAATTGTTTTTGCAGCACATTCCACCGATGCTTGACCAAACTGAGATCTGGGGAGTTTAGAGGCCGATTCAACACCTTGAACTCTTTGACACGGTACTCAAACTATTCCTGATCGATGTTTGCAGCGCAGCAGGGAGTGTCGTCCTACTGGAAGAGTCCATCAAGGAACACTGCTGCCATTACAGAGTGTATGTGATCTGCAGGAATGTTTAGGTAACATCCACATGAATGCGGGACCCAAGGTTAGCAGCGCATTATCCAGAGCATCACGCTGCCTCCACTGGCTCACCGTCTTCCCATGGCCATCCACATAATGGAACAGAAAACACGACCCATTAGACGATCTTTCATTGTTCCGAGGTCCATTGTAGGAGCTTTCAGTGACGCACAGGCATCGGCATGGACGCTTTAAATGATCTGCAGGTCCAGACGCAGAAACCTGCAGTGCTGTTGATGTTGTGACATCTTTCTATCAGAGCAGCATGAAGGATTTTGGTAGTTTGTGTTGCAGCAGCTCTTCTGTTGGATCGGACCACACATGGGCCAACTTCCACTTGTCTTCTCCCGTTGTCCTTCCTTGGACTACTTTCGAAGACCTCTTGGAGATGCTTAAACCCAATCGTCTACTTTCACAGTTGGTTAAAGTCTCTCAGATCCTCACATCAACGTCAAGAACAGACGGTCTACTTTCTGCCTGATTTATCCCACTCACCAGCAGATGACTTGTACTAAGATGATCAGCGTTATTCACCTCACCTGGCGCGAGTTTTAATACTGTGCTGTATGTCGTTGCGTATTTGCGGCCGAGGCCTGGTTCTGCTTGTGTTTCGTACTTTGAACAGCGTCACTCGGGTTATTCGTTCACACTTTTACCCACTTGAACTTTAAATTCGAGTGGAATAAAAATAAAAAACATAAAGCGTAACACCGATGGAAGTTCTGATGCCTCCAAGCTGGCAGCAGTGAATTGTGATAATGACCATCTGCCAGTCAGCGTGCACAGAGAACTGTCAACATCTCAGGCTTAGAAAACACAACCCCCTCTTTCAGAGTGACAGCCGCGCATTTTGGAAAATTACACACTTGGAACCGAATAGCTTTCCTGTTTTGTTTTTTCTTTTTTCTTTTTTCTCTCTCTTCATTTTCTCGGCACGTAAACCTGCAATTCAAACACAACGACAAAAACAAGATAAACCAGCAAATTACAGTTACAAGCCTTTCGACTGTTAACGACCGTCAGCTAGCGTTCCCCGGTGAGATGACCCGTTTCATCACCTCCCCTCCCCTGCAGCCTGTGAAGCCTCCATCTCCTCCCGTCTACTGGAAAAAAAAAAAAGGAATTGGCAGTGAGGAGAGTGGAGGAACTCCCAGATTGGACTCAATTAAAGCAGATGACTGGAGCTGTAATGGAGGCAATCAGCTCTTCTGTTTTTTCGTCCATTTTGGCTCACTTAGAAGAACACCACACACGGCCGGGCTTAAACCAATATCTGATCTGTGAGTCTGCTATGTACCGCTGAATCTAAACGTCCTGCGTTAGGAAGGCTCAGCGACAGAGGGTGAATCCAGTAAACATTCATCACTGCCATGTTCTTGACTCCGTAAAACGTTTTCCATGCCGGCAGCCACGGGCCTTCAGTCTTATCAAAACGATGCGAGAGGAATAGTTTTCACAATGCATGCCTGTGTTCATGATTCCCTTGAGTTTTTGAGGTTTTGTTGTGTTTTGTCTCGTGTATGATACAGAGAACCTTCAATTGGGTCATGCTACTCCACTGACTGGCAGGTGAAGTTAATGCATGTCTTACAAGAGGCAATCAGAAAGTTTCAAAACTACCGTTATAAATATCAAAAATGTTACTTGAGTTAAATTTGCTGGTCAACATCCCTTTTGAAGTAGTCTCCTCGTGCAGTGATACACAGCTCCCAGTGCTCCCGCAACACTTCCAACACTCCCTGGAAGTCCAGATATGTGTCAACCACCATCTGCGACGAGCTGGATCCCCTAAACCAGGGGTGTCAAACTCTGGCCCGTGGGCCAAATTTGGCCCGCTTTGTAATTATATTTGGCCCGCGAGACAATACCAAATGACTACTAGAGCTGCCCCGGTACTATACTGTACAGCGCATTCACCGCTAATACTACAAATCCCATAATGCCCTGTTGTTGTTTTGGCGCGTCAATCAGGACAGGACCCAGAAACCCCCTCTCCTCTGTGACAGTAGGCATAGCGACTTCACACTACAACTGTCACTGTGCCATTGATGTGTTTTTTTATTTATAATTTCATTTTGCATGTCTCCACTATTAACTTATATATAATGTATGGGAATAAGCGCTGCTTGTTCCCTGTTCAATGTTAAAGCAAAATTTGTTTCGGTCCATATTAAAAGGTTCATTTGTTCAATGTTGGCCCGCGACTTTGTTCAGTTTTTAAATTTTGGCCCACTGTGTTTTTGAGATTGACACCCCTGCCCTAAACTGTCTGAACTTTCGATTCGAATTTCATTTTGGGAAGAGATAGAGGTTGTAAGGAGCCAAATCTAGTATGTAGGGCAGGAGGAGAATGACAATTGTGATATTGTGGCCAAAAAAACAACCCCATGTGTAATTGCCACACGGTCACTGCCCCACCCACATGGCATTGTGCTACACTTCAGGTCGTTTGTGGTGAATGTTCCCCCTTAGACGCCTCGGGATGTTACAGCAGAAACCTGCCTTAGCGGTCTGATGCTGGAGGATGAATACCCACAGCTACTTGAATGTTAAAGAAAACAGCGAGCATGATCCTGACGCTCCTCCTTTAGTTGTGGAAATTGCAGCTCTGTCACTGTGAAAACTATTTCTTCCCCCGTTGGTAGCTCCAGACTCGCCTCTCATCACCAGTGATGATCCTCCACATGAAGGTTGGATCATCCAGCTGCTGCCTGACTTCTGCTCTCTGTGAAAGTTTGACCTCCATGGAGAAATTACAAATGTGCACCAACCAGTGGTTACAAAAACATCTGCAATATCATGTAATCTCCTGACTCATGACAGTTATTGCTTACTCATGTTGCACTCTCGTTGACATTTCTCACCTCCCCTCATATGCTTGTTAATAGCCAGAATTATATAGACAGCGATGGAGCTCACCAGCTTGTCATGTGTGTATGTGTTGCTATATTGCAGCAGGATTTGGCCAGTTGAAATAGTTCAAAATGTCATATTTTGCGCTGCTTTTTGATGTGTTAATGACCAAAATGCCAAAACCAAGCACAAGGGAAACATTTGTCATGATGAAAAGTTATTTTTCTGAGTCATACTGTACACATTTATTACAACACACGTATAAATCTTTATCTAAAGCTAACATAAAGTGACAATACTCACAGATATTTAAACGTCTATGTGGACTTGTTCAGAGAGGATGACAGCAAGTAGGTGTCAGGGGACGGACAGCAAAGCTACCTAAATATTTTAACTTAAAATGTTCCACTAATAGAAAAGCGTGATGAAATCATTTGTTTTCAATATGGATAAATTAGGCCTGAGAACACCTTGTTTCACTCTTTTTAAAATAATGTTCGTAATAACTGAGTTGCAACTTGTGGTAACATCTATTATAGCCTGCATGTGAGGTGTTTAGGGGCCATCTGTAAACTGCAGTG